TAAAATTTATTTTTGTGGCAATTTGTATTTGGTAATCCTTATAAAAAAACTTTTTAAAAAAACACTTATTTTATCTTAACTAAACTAAGTGAAAATAAGATGAACATAATCAGCCCTAAGTGGACATGCTCTTACAACCTTTTGCTCAATTCTTTTTAAGAAGATTATATATCATGGGATTAGATGATTCATTTTATAGAAATTGCATAACCACCTTTTACAATTACAGTATATAGTGCCTGAGCGATGCTCGTTACTAGATTATATGTATGCACTCATTCATTTTTCAATATAACACCAAGTAAAAAGATAGATATAATAGCCATCAAATTTTAGCCACTCGAATGAGTCCTAGACATGAATTGCCAAAAAAAAAAGAATAAAAAAATAATAATAATAATACAAAATCCACTTTTAAAAAACATTCCGTGCCTTAAGGAAGGGATATGGAATCTCTTGTTCATCATCCAGTTATTTTCTGATTTGTTTTTGGAATTTCGGTAACCTATCGTTCTAGGGTTACTGTCATTCCTTTTTAGTATTTTTTTTTTTAAAAAAAAAAATCTACTCTCTTGTATTGCTTTTCTTAACCTTTAACACAAAGTCTTATATGTGGCTGGCCACACCGTGTGGCCAGCCACTATAGGGGTTACTTTGCTAGTGTAATGGGGGTTACTTAATAGTGTTAAAGGGGTTACTTCATCATTGTTATAGAGTTACTCGGTCAGTGTTATAGGGATTACTTAATTGGTATTACAGGGGTTAATTAATCAATGTTATAGGGGTTACTTTAAGTGGTCACACGGTGTGGCCGGCCGCACACAAGACGAACTAAACCTTTTATGATACGAAATTACGAAGTGTAACTTTGATAATGGCATGATGGAGCTACCTCAATTTATACAATTATATGTGAAACCATTCAGACAATATAACAACAATATGCTACCTCCGTTATATATTACTCGCAACAAAGGAATATTTTATGTCTTACAAATAATATCCCTTTGTTGCGAATAATACGTAATGGATGAAGTACATACTTTGTATATATCATGAGACTAGCTAAAAATACACAACTAATACTGGTACCGAGTATAAAATATGGATTTACATACTTGTATAGTTGTATATAAGTTAGTTTATGGTGCAAACGCTTTACAGAAGTGGGGTATCGATTTTTTTTTTTTTATTGCTCTAGTATTATGTTACATCAATCTTTTAATTTGTACTGTAAAAGTAATGTAACACATAACACTCATGTACTCCGCAAGTGATACCATAAGCAACGCATGATTCAAATCTCTCAAGCACATGGGCATACAATGCAAGCTAAGTACTAAACCAAGAACCAACCACACTTAACATGGCAACATGCGATAAGAGCAAGCAAGCCCCCGCTATCATAAGCAATATATCCGTCCGTAACTCTTTTGTATGGTTCATAAATTATAATGTGGACGCGGATTGGTTATATACTTAAATGTATGTAGTACTTCGTAACTCAGTTTTGTCGAGAACTTTCACCAAAGTGTTACAATAACTTATGACATTAACTTTATAATGTTGCTTAAAAGTAACTCCCCGGTCCAGAATTAGGCCTTACTTATAGCAACAGATTGGAATGCATATAACTAATTTGAGTGACGACAATTTGATATTCATAATAACATTAATCAACTATCATAATTTGATAATCAGAACACCACTAATAATCCTCCGTTCTTTTTAATCCTAACATTAGGGATTTCACGCTTGCTAATGCACATTTTATAAATGCTAATGCACATTTTATAAATTAAATATCTTAAGCTCTATAGTTGTAAGAATTATAAAAGTTGATATTAATAAAATGTCTTTCGAGATGAAGTAACAAGATCTCACATGATTATATTTTTTTTCCAACGTATTAATCACTAAAAACGTTTAGAAAAGTGTGTATAGATAATGTAAAATTCCAACCCATTAAAATAAATGTAAAATTCCGAACATTGTAATCAAAATAATAAAAGTTTAGGATAATATGACTGCTAATACCCGTACGATCGTACTATAATGACCCGTGGGACATGGCCTAACAAATATAAGGCCCTCGTCTTAGAAATTGGGTAGCAATAGTCTTAAAAGCTAGCTAACATCCAGGCCTTCCTAGCTTGAAAGGAAAGTACCACTAAGCATATCAATTATCAAAGCATGAATTCATAACAACTAAATGCGTTTCAACTTTGAAGCATATACTCTGGCTTCAAGGACAGTTACTGACTTTCACATGGATATATCACGATTTCGCATCTAGGGACCATGTCTAGTACAACTAGGAAAAGTGAACCGTAACCTACTTCAAATACAATTTATGTTTTCGTTGCATATAACTGTATATAATGATATAGTACTATACTTTTCTCCAAATTGAAGTTTAAGTGATACTCCAATACTCCATACTAAATGTTTTGGATTATTGAGTGAGAAAACCTAAGAGGTGACTATATGTTTTGCATTCATTTCTTGACCATATTATACGTTTATCATATCTATATTAGTTTTTGGCCCAAGCAATGTCACGGGTCATTATATTTTTGCTATAAAAGGTTTTATAATAAAAACTATGTGCTAAAATACAAATATAGATTAAATTAGTTACAATTGTTGTAAATAAACAAGTAGTCTAGTACAAACAGTATAAAATATTTATGTGTAAGGTTAAAAAAATTATCTCACAAACAATGAAACAATGTCGGTGCATCATGATGCAAATCACTGACTTGAAAACAAATTTCCGGCGCAACCAAGGTGCTCAATTGTATTTGCCGGCACGAACGAACCCTAAGGTTAACACACCACTTCCACACAAAGACACTCGAATTTTTTTGTTAGGGGTTACCTGAGTTTTAGTCAGGGGCTGCTTGAATTACTCGGTCAGGGGTTACTTGAGTTACTCGGTCAGGAGTTACTTAAGGGGTTCGGACAGGGGTTACTCGAGGGGTTCACTCGGTTAAGGATTACTTAGTCAAGGGTTACTCAAGTTTCTCGATTAGGGGTTACTCGGTCATGAGTCGGTCAAGGGTTACTCGTGTTTCTCGGTCAGGCGTTACTCGAGTTTCTCGATCAAGCCACATACAAAAAATTGTGACTCGAATAACCCCTGACTGAGAAACTCGAGTAACCCCTGACCGAGAAACTCAAGTAACCCTTGACCGAGACACTCAAGTAACCCCGCAAACTCGAGTAACCCATAATCGAGAAATTCAAGTAACCTCGGAAGGCCGGAAACTCAAGTAACCTCTGACCGAAAAACTGAAGTAACCCCTGACACACGGTACAACATATGAAAAAATTGTGATAACTTAATGCAAGTCTCTTAAATACAAGTATATTTAAATGAAATGTAGGATCAATATATTTAATGACCTAAGAATCACTATAGATGATTCTTTCTTCCTTAAAGAATAACTAGAGATGATTTTTTATCTTTCTTATAATTTAAAAAAGTATGAGTAGCTTACTTGTACATCTTAGCTGATTAAGATGAGATAAGACTTAAATTAAAGATAACGTATCCTTACTTGGACTTGTACAAAAAAAAAAAAAAAATTAGGCCTGGCATTGTCCCTCATAATAGGAGCCATCTGGGTTAGAATTAGTTGATGTGAATACTGAATAATGAATATGTATGTCTTACTTTGATATGCAATCTTCCAACCAATTAGTAATAAGATACGTCTTCAATAACAATTTACATCATGATCGAACATAGAGATTCCTATAATTACTACTCCTATTTCTTTTCTAAAAAACAATATGTGAAATCTACATATGCTTCTTTTTCTAATCAACAAAGTGCGTCCACATCAAACTAATACTCCTTTCGTTCTTATTTGTTTTTATTTATATTGATTTTAAAAAGAAACAATAAATAGAAGAACCGTAATCTTACAATGAGATGATTTAGATATATAATTATTGAGTAGAAGATTGAGAATTGTATAGCCTTCAAGGCGAAGATTAAATATAAGAAGTTGACATTAAAGTAATTCACATTCTAGACCTAGGCAATAGTGAAGCTCTTGAAAGAAATATGAAGAATAAAAGAAAATATAATTTTGTAACATTTGGAAACCTTCTTTGTGAGGAGGTTCAAAGTGCATTAGATACAAAGATGGAGGAGAGAGGATAGTCAATTTCTAGGGATCCAAACTCTTCTCTTATGCAAAACACCATAACTTTGGAAATTAAGAGGAACAATTGGATCCACCAAAATAAGGAAAATGATTTTAACACACCAAATATTGATTTTGGCACACTCATCGTGAAAAAAAAAACATAGTTTTTTATATCAAAGGTGTGTCAAAATCAATTTTGGTGTATCAAAATTAATTTTCAAAAGCAATACACAACATAATAATTCCTCAATCCATTTAGTTTTCTTAAACATTTGTTTGATTTGTACTTCTTGTTGTTTAAGGCCTTGGTTCCTTGCTTTTATTAAACATATTACTTGTAGAACATAGTAAATAAAAAAAATTACTCATATTATTCCTAATATATTTACATATTCTTTTCAGCTCAATTTCAGTCCAGTTCGTTCCGTTCCTAATTTTCTTCTCTCATAAACAATTCAGTTCAACTCAGTAAATCAAAACAGACTTTATTTCTATATTATTTACTACCTCCGTTAATGGTTATCTGCAACTTTGGGGTACATTTGTACGAGATAAGATATTCAAAATTGCAAATAACCATTAACGAAGATAGTATAATTATGTATGGTCAAACCAATTATAGTGCTTAATTTTCAAAAAAGGAAGTAAATTAAGTAATTAATATGTTCGAGGGTTGCTTGTTAAGTTGCATGATAGTAATTGTCTAACTGATAATTTAATAATTTTAAAGCCTTAAAAGGAATAATAAGTCAATGTCTTCCTGGAAACTCTGTTCTTAACATGGTCAATAAATAAAACAAAGTAAAAGAGAATTCCTGGAAACAAAGTACAAGTAATACGTACACGTCAAGCATGTGACAGCTTTGAATTCTTGCATTCTTAATGAAATAAAATTTTCTCAACTCATTTACATTTTTCGTATATGATTATGATGTACAATACAATCCCTCCATAAGAACTATCTGAAATTCAGTAACAAAAGGCGAAAGCGTTGGATATATATATTGTAAGGACTACAAAGTCCTACCTCTTTACTACACTCAAGAGTATTCTATCCTTGCCTGGACTACAATGTACGTCTCAATTGGCAATGCTCGTAGAGCAAACTGACTTGTGCGTAGTATTTCTCAAGGCGAATTTGATGATGTATGCAAAACAGAATGACTTCTAGTTACCCCAATATCATCACTGATATATTTTAGTTGATATCACATAACTCCTCAGCAAAATAGGACCTTCGTTGAAATCAAGCTAGAGCTTCTTTTTCGATATCTGAATAAATTAAGATGTCTCCCCTCCAGATCTTTGGTCCACAGAGCCTAATCTACTGTGTGCTTCGACAGCTTCCTGGAAAGAAATAACCCATATCTTAATAAAACATTCTCATTCTATTTTGAAGCAAGCAAATGTAGTACTCCGTATTAAAGCTCTACTTCAACTGAAGTTGGAGTTTAGTCATTTGATGATAGCATGAATTTCAGTTTGAGTTCTCTTGAACTATAGAACAACCTTTTTAAAACCATCTTTCATACTTTCCGGTCTTTCTCCAAGTAGTGTCAAGAGTTTAATGCTAAATTGCACAAAGTGTCACCTTAAACTATATGAAATGAGACCTAAGTTATTCCAAAATCCAAACATTGCTCATGGAAATCTCACAAAGGTTGTTTCCCATTTTCGAAACTTCACCTTTTCTTTGAATGACCAACTTATTTTTCTTCCTTGAGGAGCAAATGACAATACGTTTCTAAGAATCTTTCTAAATAAAGAAGACAAGACTCTAATACACTCCTAGTTAAAATTATTTTTGGCTAACAAACAATTTTGGAGTCATAAGAAAAATAACTAATTTGATGATTTAAGCTCATTCCTGATCGTGTGTAGAAAAGAGAGTTTTTTTATTTCACATTCCGTTTGAGAGCAACCTAGGTTCCAAATGGCCGATATACCTTTCCTAAGATGTGTCAGTAAACTCCCAAATTAATATGCAGGAAAAAAAAAGGTACCTGGTTTACATCTTCTGAATCTTGTCCAGTAGAATCATTAATTGTCCGATTGTTTTCACTCGTGAGTTCAGGTGCATCATGATGTTCCTTAGAAGAAGCATCAACACTCCCATTAATAGAGGTAGTACCATTAGAGGCGTCAACACTAGTTGTTGCAAGCTGATTTGTTTTGCTTCCAGCCAACTGAGCTCCATTTTCATTTGAGTCATCTTGCTTCTCAAGTCCATTCATCTTGGATGCAGCATCTACTGTAGGTGCTTCATTTTTCTTCTCCTCTTCCCTTTGGCGTTTTCTTCTAGCTTCTTCTTCCTTTAATTGCTTGAACCTATAAATATTAGAGTTAAGATCACAAAAACAAAAACAAAAACGAACTCCAATGTCAAGGATAAGTATTGAAACCCATGATCACCTTTCTCCTGGCCGTAACCCTGTGGAAGGTGATTTTTCTTCTGTCTGGGTTTTAGTTTCAAGGACAGTTTTTGGAGGCGGTGTTTGCTCTTTTAGTATATCATCACTAATGGTTTTAGAGGACAATGTTTGCTCTTCTTTAAAAATTTCATCACTAAGCTTCCCTATTGGATTCTTTGCACCCCCCATCTTCTGAAGAAAAACTTGCTGAAGTGTGCTTAAGATATTATTTGTAAACCTGAAAAAGAAATCAAAGTATCAAACCATAGTTGCAGGACTAAAGAAACATAATGAAGGCTTCAAATTTAAGCACAATAGCAAAGAAAAACTAACCAATAAAGGCTTAGGCCAGAAGGCACTGAAAGCGCAAAGTAGCCAATCATCAAAGGAAGAACTTTAGTCAGTGCTTGTGAAGTCTTCATATTTGGATCGTTTGGCTGGATGTCAAAAGAAATGTTATGCCGCCATATAAGAAATTGATAAAATCAAGAACAAAAAAACTCTGAAAATGCCCTAAATTAAATTTAGAGAGCTAAACAGTTCTGACAAGAGGTGCATAACTAATTGCTCAAATCTTTCTTTAAGTTGTATGCACACAAGGTGCTAAACATCCGCTAGGTGCTAGAACAATTGGAAGCTATGCCAAAATCTTCCCAACTTAAAGAATTGTTTAATCACTATTAACAAGATAATACATTAATTAATGTTATTTTCAGAGAAGACTTATATCCTTCGACAACTAGAAGGTTTGTTCTAAACATTAATCTTGTCGATCAATTTGTAATCCACTTTTCGTTCAGAGACGGACATAGATACACAAGAACAAATGGGTTGCGGAGGAGACCGTTAGAGGCATGAATACAAGAGAACAAATGTGTAGCGGAGGAGGTCATTGGGGTTCAATTTGCTAAGTTTACTCTAGGAAGTGTGACTCACTGAGTGCTATTTTATCATCGATTAAAATTACAAGGCTTCCTCAAAACAAAGCATAATAACTACACGGTACCGTCTGGGGTGATACGGGGAAATATTGCAATTATTGTCATGACTATGAACATAATACAAATGTCTGCAGTGATCTCAGGCATGTTATAATGATGATGGGAAGATTCCAATTCCAAAATTGTAGACTCTGCCTACTCTAAGGTTCATAAATACAAATTAACACAACGACTAAAGTAGTGATTGACCTTTGTCCATTACTTTGGTGTCGGATTATTATCAGTGATCGACCTTTGTCCATTACTTTGGTGTCGGATTATTATCAGGTCTAAGGTGTTTCGGTAGACAACAAATCTACATTCAATATTTGCAGCAAACATATTCTTAAAAAGTTAAGGTGCGAAAATGTTCCTTTTAAGACACTCCAAGAAAGTTTTTAACATATGCAATCGCACTCCTACACATACAATTGCAAAATCACTTCTTTTTTTTTTTTTTTTTTTTTTTTTTTTTTGAGGAGAATTGCAAAAATCACTTTAATTGGGACATCATGACTAGGTTTTTAACACTGAATTCCAAGTAATTGATGATTTTGAAAACCCTACCTTTACTTTGGAAAATAAGGTTACAATATATAGGGGAAATTGCCTCTGCTCTCCATCAGAAAGTCGAGTTCTCCACCGTAGTATGATCACTATTCATAAAGACGCAACCATACCAGATACGACAACAACAGTTTGCAGAATTTAAGATTACTTTTTTACAAAAAAAAAAAAAGAAATTAGGAATTTAGGATTATTAATGTATACAAAGAAAATAAAGAAAAAAGTTTTAAAGCCATATACTGAGAAGAGGAGAAAAAAAATAAAGAAGAAAGTTGGAGTCTTGAAAAGCTAACCAACAAAAAGAAAATTGCATTGAATATGTATTGAACTTCGCACTTTCTCTATAAAACCTTTGCATCATATCACTAAATCACAAGCATTACATAAAATTACCCAGCTTAATAAGGATATATCTAATTTTGGGGCCCTAATACAAGAATCCCGCAAGATTGGAGGAAGAGCACCTTGGTCCCGATCTATAAAAACAAAGGAGATGTTCAATGCTATTCTAAATATCGAGGGATCAAGCTTATGAGTCACACTATGAAGTTGTAGGAAAAGGTAATTGAACATAGGCCGTGCATAAGCATTTTAAATGACCAATTTGGTTTTGTGTCCGAGAAATCCACTATATAAGCAATCCATTTGATAAGACAAATGATGGACATTTATAGGGTACAGAAGAAGGATCTCCATATGGTTTTGATTGATTTAGAGAATGTCTATGACAAGGTGCCCAGAGAGGTACTTTCTGGCAATGTTGTAGAAAGGTATTCCACGGCGGTACGTGGACCTGGTTAAGGATACGTATTGGGATGTGTAAAATGTAAGGACGTGTGGAGGGTTGACAAAAGATATCCCTATTACAATTGGATTGCATCAAGGGTCTGCGTTAAGTCCTTTTCTTTTTGTAACGATTTTATGGTGTGTTGTTTGTGGATGATATTGTTTTGGTGGATGAAACTAAAGATGGGGTTAATGCCAAATTGGAGCAATGGAGGCAAAGGTTGGAATCTAGAGGGTTTAAGCTAAGTCAGATTACGATTGAATATTTGGTATGCCGCTTTAGTACATAAAGGAAGACAAGCAATGATGTAATGTAGCGAGTTTGGACGGAAGGATTCGACCATGAGTGAGTGTTTTAGATATCTTGGGTTGAACATTCAGAAAATTGGTGACATTGATCAAGACGTGACCCACAACATTAAGTCGGGGTGGCTTAGATCGAGAGTGGCCACGAGAGTGTTATGTGACCGAAGCATTCCTTCACAATTGAAAAGGAAATTATATAGGATTTCCACAAGACTAGTGTTCTCTATGGTACAGAAATGTTGGGCATTTAAAAAGGGAAAAATCTAAAAAGATGGAGGTTACGGAAATGCACATGTTAACATAAATGTGCGGGAACAATCTAAAAGATAAAATCAGAAATGAAGTTATTCGCAAGAAACTGGGTGTCAAGCATTGCAGGTAAACTAAGGGAAAATCGCCTACGTTGGTTCGGACGTGTAAAACGAAGATCTAGGGCACACCATTACGAAGAGTGGAAGAGTAAATATGGTAGAGGGAGATCGAAAATGACTTGGTTAAGAGTTAGGAAAGATATGAAGCGTATGGATTTGTATGAGAATAAGGTATTTGATTGTAAGGAATGGAGGAAGATTTTAGTGGATGACTATACGGAATAATCATTTTTGGTTCATGTAAGCCTTAAGCATGCTAATACAAGAAAAGCTCCCCCCCCCCCCCCCCCAAAAAAAAAAAAAAAAAAAAAAAAAGAATTAGAGCCTTACAAGAATCTCATATAATCAACTCGAGTTTCTTTTTTAATCAGTAAGAATCTATTGGACCAAGACCTCAAGGTCATAAGGTGAAAGGTGAAACCCTCACCCACTGCACCAAATACTACTTGGTAGGGGAGAATGCAAAATGACAAGAACTTAATAGAAATCAAAAGGAGTTGACCAACCTGAGATGCCTGCATAATCTGGACTGATATGTACTGTGAAACAACCAACAACACTGGTAGAACAAGATATGCAGCAGTATCTGGCCATCCAAGCGGTGGATGACCATCCTGTAAAAGTCAAAGACTAGTGTCAAGAGGAAATCTAGATAGTGAAAGTAATCCAAGAATTTTCACCAAATTTCATCGATTCAATGATAGTATGGTTGCATGCTATGCTCTGAACAAATTAATGCAGTTTAACCATAGTTTCTAGTAAAACCAACATTTTGGAATCAACATAAGAGCACAGATTGAGCACAAGAAGTCGTTAATAACTTACAACGAAAGGGAAAAGCCAAGATATGCCAGTTCCACTTTGCCGATCAGCAATAGTAGTAGGACCAGCAAGTGAGGGTATCCAAAAGAAACCCTCAGTCAGAAGTCCCTACAAAAATACATGAGAACAAGAAGATATGAATGATCCAATGCAACATTCACGCAGTAATGTAACAACATAGAAAGAAAAATAAATCTGAGAGTTATTGAGTACGATTTGTGCAGTAATACCTCGTTAGCAACATTTGAAAGGGCTCTATAAAGACCTATCCAAACTGGTATTGTTGCCAGCGTTGGCAGACATCCTATAATAGAAGGAAAGCATTGAACAAGTCACAAAAGAATATATATAACAGATTCATTATGCCAGTGGAAGCAATATAGTGAGTGAAAGTAAAAAGATAAAATTGCCCAAGAATATGAAGACACCAAATACCTGCTAGTGGATTAATGCCAGCGAGCTTATACAGACGAGCCGTCTCAAGTTGAATCCTTTCCTACATGCATATAACAGAATAAGCTTCAAATCTTGAATGGCTATCTTTCTTAGCACCAGCTTCCAATTCCAAAGGGGCATTTTGGAATGAGGCAGCAAGTTCAACTAACCAATATCTCCCCAAAATGGGGAGGCAAGTAGAGATATTACTCCAGCTATTTAATACTGTCTACATCTATAATCAGGTCATATTTGATTTTGGCAATCAACATATTGATAATAGAAAGGGAGTGACAATGGAATAAAAAATTAAAAAATAAAAAATAAAAAAAATAACTGGCTTATTAAGTGACGTTGAACTGCAAAGACTAGAATCACTAGATAGCCACTGAGTCACTGACGAATGAACAATAACCACATAATATGTCCCTGAAGACTACCATCATCCCCAAGACCCCAAACCATATGACCACAAGAAGAGAGAGCATAAGAAACATACAAAACCATTACAACCATGACAAAACTAACCTTTTAGGGAAGAAATGAGTTACTGAAGAGAGGACACAAGATTACCTGATCTCCAGCATATCGCTGCTGGATAGCCTTAATTTGAGGCTGCAAGGATCGCATAGCCATAGCAGATTCCACCTGCAATAAAAGCATGCTATTTCAGTCAAATCCCTAATCTTCCATCTAGATCCAGATAAACAAAGTGATGAGACAACTGTATGCAGTGCTGTTACATCAACTTTCAGCAAAAAAAAGTGCTGCGGAAATATAATGACACATATATATATATATAGAAACTTCTAGCATTTGATAAATGATTCAATTGATTCTTCAGGTAATTATAAATTGTACAATCAGATGGACATTAGTAGCAAGCAAATGAAAACCCATACAGGAGATTAAGAAAAAATGGCAATATGGTATTAGTCTTCAAGCTCTGCTCCCAACAATCACAAACCAGACAGAGGTCTTGATAGCCAGAAGGCATTGTTATACAGCATAACAACACAATCCCAATAATTTTTTTTCCAAACAATCACAATCTTCGTCATAGTAGCTACAGATGATTACAGCATCAAAGACCTAATACTTCTACAAAGAGCAAAATTTTCAGTTCCACACCAAATGTCTCACTTCAATTTATTGAGCATATTTTAGCCTCGATTGAGAAACAGGTAAGTCTTACAAGGGTTAAAACAACCAATTGGAAAGACATGGTCATAATCCTCCAAGATATTAGCAAATAAAGTACACTTTGTACACCAGCCCTTCCTATTTGATAGAAAAGGATCCTATTACCCTGAACCGATCTTACCTGGTATCACTATGGAGAAGAAGGCTCCAACAAGAGTGAACAGGCATGCTTTTCAGAATTTGATTCAACATCCAGGGCATGAAGGCAATAATACCACTTATCCTTTTCAAATGAATATGAATGAAAATATTTTCTTGCTCATCCAAGACAGTGAATCCTAGTCTACATGGAGACACAAATGCGAGCTAGCCTGACTCCTGGTCTAATGCTCGCAGCACTCCAGTGGAATCCTCACAGACAGAAAAAGCTTGTAGTCAGAATGATTGGTTGACATTGTTTCTTTGGCTTTTTGATGAGAGCCACTTAATAAAGGTAACTCTCTATTGAAGGTAGGTGTGTATGCTTGTTACACAAAAGAATTAATTTTTCAAAAGAAAGGTCCCTACTTCAATTCAAGTAGTTTTTGTAACTTGGGGACAATTAAACCATTGCTGCAGTGCCGGCTAATAAAATAAAGTCCTGCAGAAAAACTAGGCAGCTAAGTTGGTTTAGAAGGTTGCATCTTAGGCAACATTCCACACACACATCGCATTGAAGACTTCCTCTTCCTCTTCTCTTCAATCCTTACCACACTTTTCTTAAAAATCAAATTACAAACCTTTGACTCCAATTAAATCTAATAAGCCCACTCCTCCTAACCAACTAGCTTTAGTAAACTTGATTCTTTTCCTGTTCATCTGTTCCTATCTCTATTGTTTAATTTTTTGTAACATAAATGCCTTTACATACTACTTCGTACTATCCTAGCATTCACAAAATGAACAACATTTTACATGAAACACTCAAAAAAAAAAAATTCTCTCCTAATTTCAACATTCATTTAACAAGACATTTCCTCTTCCAAAAATAACCAATATATCATCTCAAATAAATAAAAAAATGTACCTGTTTCTTGGACAAAGGAAATGTGGCAGCCTTAACCAGCACAGTTAGCAATATAATTGCAAACCCATAAGAATACGGTACATGTAATGTTGTCAATCCATCCTTCAACACCTATTCATTCAATTCAACTTTAATTCCAATTCAAACTAACACAAATAAACTCAAGTCGCAAATAGTAGGTCTTGTATACAACGAGTATATATGTACAATTTTCCAAAACTTCGGGTGATTTAAGCATGTTGTATACAATACACCCGTTGTAAGGCATTTGCCGCCATTCAAATAAATAAAAAACTTGCAATTAAAAATAACCCTTTATTGTACCTTAAGAACAGTTTCCATGGTAGAAGTAATCCCAGAAAGCCAATCTCCATTTTGTTTGGTAGTAGTATTGGAAGCATCAACAACATCAGAATTAGCAACAGCAGCATCAGCAATGGTGTAAAGAATTCCTTCAGCTCTACCTAGCAGTTCTTTGACAGTGCCCTCGAAAATTTCCGGGTCGGGTAATTGACCCGAGTTCAAGAACCCGAATTTAGCAACAACAACAAGTGGGGTTCGATGATTTTGGTGCAGAAAATGGGTTCGGTGAAAGAAGGGGGTTTGGAGGGTCCGAATTCGAGATGGGTATGGGTGGAAAATGGGTTTGAGTCCGAGAGGAGAGAGAAAACTTGACATTTTTAGTGGAATTGAAGAGGTTTTTTGATAAACCCTAGAAAGTTGGGGGGTTGAATTTACAGTGAAAGATAGAAATAAAGGGAGGTGAAGAAGATGGACAGGATATTTTTGTGAGAGAGAAAGTAGTGCAAATTTTGGGAATTATTTTTTGCTGAAATTGGTGAGCTGAATAGGAGGTTGAAAATGGGTGTATTGTATGGCCACGTGCAACTGGTATTGTGGTTGATAAAACAAGTGCAATTTGACTGGAATTGATTTACCACATGTCAACTAATTGGAGCTGAAATAAACTAAACTAAAATTAAGCTGAACATAACATGGCCTAAGACTTAAAAATTAGCTGAACAGAACATGGCCTAAGACTTAAAAATTCGACTTAATATTTTAGTAGTTAAGTTGAGATGTATAATCTAACTCAACTCAATATTCATAAACAATTAAATGTAAATAGTTTTGGTGGACAACGACTGAACAATACTCCTTAATAATCTTCTTTTTTGAAAACAACAAAAATAATCTTAGTATATTTGCAGTTAATTCTTAGATTTAGATTAGTGAAAAAAATGGAAAGTAATCAAGCATTCACTTATTTGACTTCATTTTTTGTTTTTTAAATTTTTTTGTTAAAAAAAACAAATAAAATATCACTAACATATTGCAATGAAGAGGTGTTTTTACTTTTTAATTGTCAGCTTTTAAAATTAAACCTTTTTCTTTTTTTGTTGTCAGACTTTAATAAGTTTAACAAATTTATTATTCATTGTATGATATATATAATACTAAACCAACACAAGTCCTTCCGGCACATTTTGTGTTCACTCATGCGCGCCCTAAGAAAACTTCCCAGGAGGTCACTCATCCCAAGACTACTCTCAGCCAAACACGCTTAACTGTGGAGTATCTTAGCAAATAAGTTTCCTAAAAGGAAGATGCACCTTGTTGATATGAGTAGTATATCAAATCCAGTGTCCATCAATAGAAGATTGTGGTGATCTCACAAAAACTAGCTTGAAATAAGAAACACAACACTATTATAATTGATACTCCCTCAGTTTCACTTTATTAGTCCCATATACTATATTGGTTGTTTCAAAATGATAAACCCATATAGAATATATTCCAAACATTATTATAGGATGAATAATTTTCATAATATGTGAATAATTAATCTAATTGGTTGTTTAAAGAGTCAAATAATAATGATTAGTTAATATATGTGCTAGTGGATTGCTGACATGACAAATTCTTCCACTCAAGATTTATTATAGGTGATTAAATTATAGTCAATTCCCATAAATAAAACAAATAAAACAGGAAAAGACAAAACATTATATTAGTTACAAAGCTGCAATCAGATTCCAAATTAATTATTAGGAATCCACCTTTTATTTCTTATTTTAAGTGATTGATTTTGAATGGGAATATAACAAGGTGAAACAAATTGAGTATAATTTTTCACAACACTTTCTTCAAAAAAGCTACTCCGTAATTTAAACATTTCCAGTCATGTTTGGAGATTATTTGCATTTATATGCATTTGTAGCACTAAAGCTTATTTGGAATATTGAAAAGCTTCAGGGCTAACATGGGGTCGCAAAAGATTATTTTGCCACTAAAGAGAGGTAAGGAGGTAAAAGTGTAAAGAATATAAAACTCTCACAATAATTTTTTGGTTCATAATTTCATATAAAATACAGTATAACTTTACATAGGAGAAAGATTGTTCCCTAAAAATTCACATGATATAAGAGAATGTAATCCATAAACCAGAAAAAAGCACGACAAGTAAGGCCCTGTTCTTTAAATTTTTGAATTGTTCTGCTCTGTTGAACCCTACTTTACTCAGCTGAAATCTACTCTGTTGAACCCTTCTTTACTCTACTGAAATCTGCTCTATTCAACCCTATTTTGCTCTACTAAAATCTGCTCTACTCTGCTTAAAAATATTATTTAATAATAATAATTAATATTTAATAATAGTAATTAATATTTAATACAATAATAATAATAATTAATATTTAACAATAATAAAAATAATTAATATAATATTTAATAATAATACTAATTAATTAAATTAATAATAATAATAATATTTAATATATAATATTTATAATTAGTATTAAATTTATAATTATAAAAATAATGATTAATATTTAATAATAATTAATACTAAATTAATGATAATAATAATAATTAATATTTAATAATATCAAATTTATAATTAATATTAATTTAATAATAATAAAAATAATAATTAATATTTTATTATAATTATAATGACAATTAATATTTAATAATAATAATTAGAGAAGGATATTGTTGCGTTAGTTGCTGAAGCGGGTTCATCATGAAGTAGTTGTGTCTTCGATAAGTGCAATTACTAGATATATCAAGGATCACTATCATGGAGATAATAAGTTTGTTCTCTTGGGGCGTCATCATCTGTTGCTAGACTATGAGAGATGATCTTTGGGCTAGTCAAATGGTCCAAAGCCCGCTAGAATGGATCCTATGAGGTCACACACAAGGGTATTGGGTTTAGCAAGTTAGAGGCCCATGAGCAATTAACTAATCATGAAATGGATTGGGCTAGCATAGTTAGATTAGAATTAGGTTTTGGGCTTTTGACATGGGCTCTTATTTAGAGATGAGATCTATAAATAAGATCCATGCCTAGGGTTGCATGCAAGCAGTCATAATTCACACACAGTTAATTTTGACATCAAGGCAACCAATCCCAAAACCCTAATTCCCTCTCTGTAGACACCCATTTGTGTCTCCCCAAAACCAAACCCAGTGATGAGTACCTTTCACGTCGAATCATAATCGAATGAAACGAAAGTGTGGAAAGTCTAGTGTTGCGGAAAGTTTTTATTTCTTTTCTCTTCTCTCTGTTTTTGAAAACTTTATTTTAAGAAAACAGCCAATCCAGTTTGGTTGGTCCATGATATGGGTCCAATAGTAGTGTAGTTGGATGGGGCTTGCAAAGACCTTTCCAACGATATATTATAAGCCCAATTCCGATGAATATTGAGGAAGTTATGGCCAATTTACTAAACTGGGCCCGTTTTGAGTTTTATGTACGACCCAATGATCTAGGGGAGGGCCTAATATGATTTATCATTCCTAATGCAATTAGGAATGGTTTTAGTTTTCTAGAATCTTCTAGAAGGTTATTTTCATTCCTAATTCGATTAGCATTGATAAGTTGACTTTGTTGACTTTTCAGAGTTTTAATCAAAATCAAATAGCATTTTCGAAGAAATTATATTATTTTATCCTCCAGTACGGTAAACTTATTGGATTTTCGAAAACGCGTTAAAATCAAGCTTGGCGTCCAACCCCAGGCCTTGGCGCTAGTGCTGGTGCCTGGCGCTAGTGCTGGTGTCTGGCGCCAGCTAGCTAGGGTTGGCGCCAGCTCTGTTTCTTGAGCGTCAGACTCTGTTTTGTTAATTTATCTTTTTTGGCTGATTTTCTCTATAAATATCGTATTGAAAACTCCGTTTTGATTCACCAATTCTCCTCATTCGCAAGTTATTCACCTTCAATCAGTTTTCATTCATCTCCCTCATTCATCTTTCCTAAACTTGGTTTTCTCATACAAAATTCTGCATTCACAAGATCTAGAAACACTTAGCCATATTCGAAGTTGCCTTCACCCTAGACGTGAAAGGTTTAATTTCTGAGGGTTTGGTCCCAAATCTCTATTTCAATTATTTAATTTAATTGTTTATTTATTTTCCTTGAAGTTACTAACGTGTGTATTTTGTTATTAGAAAGAGGTACGAGGCATCAAAGTAAGTTCTTTAATGGTTTTAATTGATATTATGATGTAGAAATCATGTTTATATTGTTGTTATGATTCCTAGTATCATGTTTAGGGAAAAGGTTATAATATATCAAATATGCTTATTATGATTCCTGCGATGCTTCCTATGTTCTTCCTAATATTTATGATTGTTAGTATCATGTTAGGGTTAAAGATTTGATTTTTATTGCTTAGTGACATGCTAGGGTTTGTTATTAATCTTGTTAGTATCATGCCTAGGATCTTGCTATTTTTATTATGCTTTAATGTTAACATGAACATGATTATGATTATAATTGTTATGATTTATGATGATTATGAATATTATTATTATTATTATTATTATTATTGTTATGATTATATTTTAATAATAATTATTATATTAATTATTTATTATGTTGCTTGATTATTTTATTGTTATTGCTTGATCACACCTTTATGCATGTTTAAAGGGAATTTGTACTTGTAATCACGCTTGATAAGATAATTAATAATCTTGTTAGGGTTAATTTGATTATAATTTCAAGTGATCGTCAATAATAGTTTATTTGTGCATTAATATTCAACCAACATAGATTAAACAGGTTTAGGGTAATCCTATTGATTGCATGTTAGTCAGAAAGCGCACATGAATACGATCAGAATAAAGTAGAGGCCTATTATTAGGGCAGGTTCAATCTCTTTAGGTTGGATTTGTACCTTCATCCCCGAACCCTTATTTGGTTCAATCTCTTGGATCGTTAAGGAGTGTAACCTTCACCCTGTGAACGGTTTACAAGTTCCTAAAAAACTTGTTGGCGACTCTTTTGCTCTATCTTCTTCCCTTTTGGACGCCATCGTACTTTAGTGTATGATCACAGTGGGGTTCAAGCTAGTGGGATTTTAAAAGCTTGAAATTATTCCCTACACTCTCTAATTCACGGCTCCCTCTCCCCCCCCCTTTGGACTCACGAGGGGCCACCCTTGGTGGCGCGTGTGGTGGTTCGTGGTGGTTCATGGTGGTTCGTTGCTCGCTCTTCTCCGTAGAAGGTCAATTGAAGGGTTCAATTGCAACTAACTAGCATTAGTGGAGGTCTTGATTTGTGCTCGTGGACCAAGTAGAGGAATCACGCTTGGGGTTCTTTATCTCCCATTGTTCTTGCTCGATCGCACGTGGAATCACGCTTCAAAGGTACGATTATTTGTTCTTTATGTGTTATGCATTAGATCTTGGGATTAGGTATTGTATGAATATGATTCACGTTTTTCCGCTGCGTTGTGCCTATATAACCCTACAGTTCAGGCATTCGCAAAGACTCGGGATATAGGTGCTCGTGCGGCTGCTCACATCTTTAGTATGAACGGGTTTGCTATAGCTAGAGG